TGTAGTAAGTAGGCCAACTTAAAGATGAGGTGGATGCTGAAGGTGAGAACCCTCAGTATGTAAGAGCATTCGGTAAGTAAATGGACATGCATATAGAAGACAAATGTACGTGGTTCACCCGAATGATGGGCTACGTCCACGGAGAAGTATGTTTTCATTATGATAATGTGTGTATACATTGTATATAGGGTTAGACCCAAGGGGAAGAGGAAGAATACCGAAGGTTGAAGGCAGATGCTGAAGGCCGAAGGCTGGGGATCTGGCTGATGGCCGATGATCCGTGGGCTTGTAAATGGGCTCATGGGTAAACCCATGGGGGCCCAATAGCCTGCTCCAACTCTTTTCTTTCTCCTCCCCCTTTCTTGAAGGGGAGAGGTCTCCTTTTATAAAGAAGGGAGAGTCCCCTCCTCTTGTGTTTTGTCGATGTGGGACTCCCTTCCCTTTGGCTTGGGAGTGTTTGGGAGTGCTTAGCCAGATATTGTACAAACACCCACAAATGTGCATGGACAGTTTGAAGAGTATGCCATCACATATTCAGACATTTCTTGCAAGGACACCTCGTCTCATTTTTTTCATTCACATGCTAAATTGCTACTCCCATAAATGATGCAATACCATCCATATATTCCTTACTCAACCTATTTTTCACCTTAATCCATTGTCTATCCATGTGAACGTCCTATAACATAATTTAGGTGACGTCACATTCTTTCTGAATATGAAATGTCTCCTTATAACATATAAAGTTTTGTATATCTATACTATTTTAAATATTATGCATAGTTCGTTAATTATCATATTATTCATGTATTACTTCTGTTTTCCGTACACTTATAAAAGATATGGAAAAATTTGTGTTTGACATATTTTATCAAAGATATGCAAACATATCATTCACGTATAATGCGGGTATTGACATATTTTCTAAACAGGGGCCCAAGGTATTGTATATGCATAAGTTCCAAGTTGGAACAACTACCGAAGCCTACAAATTTTAGGGCCAAGTAAATCTAGAAAGTTCCTAGATACGTACTTCAGTGATTGTTGAACCCTTGACCACATAGGTAGGGTTCGCGGGCCAACCCAAAAGTTTTGGGTTAGGGGCAGGCTTCACGAGCTTTTTTTGAATTTTAGAGATGAGCTCGCCCAAGGTTTCAACTGTAAAGAGGGTTTGAAATTTAAATACAGTGGCAATGCTTGTAATTTATGATATTTGTTAACTGCAGTTTAGTAATTTGAGATTCATGAATTGGTTATTGACATTTTATTGAATATGTAAATTTTGGTTTTATGTTCCATATTATTAAACTATATAATGACCTTAAAACAAAACTCTGTTATTTTAATAGGGTCATTCTTTTTCTTCCTTAAAACTTTTGAATATGTAAATTTTCGTTTTTTTAAGTCGTTGATATTTCGGAACATATCTATACATGTATTGAATAAATATCGATAATATCGACAATAATATTGGAAAATATTGATGTCGATAATTTCGCTCACACTTCAGCAATATTTTGTCAAAATATCGCTCTAATATAAAAAATATTGAAAATATCGATGTAATGGAAAAAAGGGAAAAAAAACACAAAGTACACATGCAAAGGGGATTCGAACCCCTGCCATTTCACTCTTCCAACGCCTTAACCACCATGTTTCTTATGTTTTTGTGATAATACGCAAAAAGGGAACTCTATGTTGTACTAAGTCACTCATGTATCTTACCATGCAATATTTTAAGTGTAAAATATTGTAGTAAATCATTATATATAATCAACTTAAATAAGTTAAACCCATCATGCAATGCATTTCCTTCCAGTTTTTTGTGATAAATTAATAGATAATTGACTAAATAAACATCTTCCAAAGTTTCAATAAAAATTTCCAAGCTTTTCTTACATTTTCTCTGGTTTTTATTCAATTTTTATCGATATCGATAATATCTCGATATTTCTATCGAAATTTTCGTGTTTTTGAACTACTGATATTTCCGATACCATCGATATTTTAGACCTTGGTTTAACCTATGCCATAACACGGATAGATTACATAGTAAGATAACGACCTATGCCATAATACAAATAGTAATCACAGCTTAGGGAAAATCGACTTAAGTGCTCTAAAATCGACTTAGTTACGAAATCTTTATCAATTAACTCATTAGATTAATCATTTGCCTCAATAACATGAGTAAGAAGACTAATGGTTGAATATAAAGTCTTGGTGTTTCATCATATTGTTAACAAACTTTTCCAAAATCCATTTTTTAAATTTCCTTAAATTTCCTTGTTTGCTTTTATTTGTTTTCTTAAACCAAAATCAACTTTTGCCAACTCACTTTTCAAAACTTACACCGTGTAACCATCTCTCTATTTTCCATCTTTGTTTCCGTTTAGTTTATGTTCTATTAATTGGAATTTTACTCAATCCTTGTGAGAACGACCTTGTTCTTCCATATCTATACTAAGCATTGATCTGTGCGCTTGCAAGATAAATTTGTTGAATTTAATCTATTAATTTAGGTTGAATTTGGACATAACAACTCATCAAATTAAAATCCCCAAGCAAGCAAGGACACTTTGTATCTTTCCTACATTGCATTTGCACAAGATAGTAACTAATGTGATGTATTGTAAATTATGGACCACTCTTTTGACAAGTTAGATAGACCGTCTTGCAGGGTTTAATTCAACCATGGACCACTTTCTTGGAGCCATGCCACTATATATAGGGCTTGAAATTCAATCATTAATCCCAAATTTTGAAGAACCCTAAACCCAAATGGCCAATTTCGAGCCCTAATATGAAATGAGAATGGTTTCAAACGAGCTTTTACGCTCAAGGAATTTGGGTTGACGAAATTGCCCCTTGCACGGTCAAAGAAATTGACAAGAATACAAACTTGTCCTCGAATTGCTACAAATACCAAACTACAATGGTAAGAGTGACAGAATTGAAACTACATGGTCAAAAATGGTTGAAGTGCCAAAGAATTTCTGCCTCATTTAAGGAAGAGGCTACAATGAGGAGTTCAAAATGAGGGGGCTATTTGAGGAGGCCAATCCCACCATCAAAACATTTAAAATATTTAAGTCCCATAATTTCTTTACATTCGTTCACGGTAAGATTGACGCCCCCCCCAAATAGCCCATTGACTTTAAACTTCTCATTATAGCCTCCCCGCTCATTTAGAGCCTACTATTGGGCTTTCTCTATAAGAAAAACAAATGAAAAAAATATCCAAATCTTAAGATCAATGACCCAAACCCAAAAAAGTCCACCAAAGTACTCCAAGGTTTGATCACGTCGATTTATCAATACTCGGGTCAGTATTAGTATTACTATAGTCCATCTCTCTCTCTCTCTCTCTCTCTCTCTGTGGCAATGGCTGGACTTCGATTGGGGCCAGATGACTCGGAGCTATCGCAGCAGAGCCGAGCTGCTCCGGCCGATCTCATCTCCGACGACGACCGCTCCGTCGCCGCAGACTCATGGTCCATCAAGAGTGACTACGGAAGCACTCTCGACGACGACCAGCGCCACGCAGACGCTGCCGAGGCCCTCTCCGCCGCTAACCTCCGCGCCCCCTCCGATTACAGGTTTAATTTCCGTCCACTTCCTGTTTGGTTTCCCAGAAAATCTTGTGAAGAAAATATTATGAAGACTAGGTTTCCCATTGCCTGTTGTATTTAGGCTTATTCTGGTTTTACAACCTCTGTTATAACTCTGACTTTAGAGGAGGAGTGAGACTCTTTTAGTCAATGAATTAATTACTTTTAATGAACTTATTAGTTCATGAAATAATTATTTTCTTTTGAATGTTGTATGTATTGTGTTTGATGTTGTGTGTTGTAATTGTATGTGTGCAGTTCTGACAAGGATGAACCAGATGCTGAAGGTGTGACATCAATGCTAGGTCTTCAGAGTTATTGGGATGCTGCATATGCAGATGAGTTGGCGAATTTTCATGAACATGGTCATACTGGTGAAGTTTGGTAAGCTTGGTTTTAGTATGTAACTCTGCAAATTAACTTGTCAATGCATTTGTTGTGGCTTTGGTTTAGCAGCTAGGAAATATTTATTCATAAGTCCTTTAGCTGGGATTAGACATACTATATGTAGTAATATAATTTTTTGAAGTTAAAAAAAAAAAATCAGATCTTAAAAGTAATAAATTAAAGGAGTATTCAGTGAGAACGATTGACATTGGTGTGAACTTAATAATTAAGAGCATCAGATGGTCTTTCATGAAGGACTTGGTAAACATACCAGTCCTCAATAAGTTACTGTGCAAAATGATGTATGCTTACTCTCTGCTTCATCATATCGTATTCATCATGTTGGTAGAGAATCACAAAGTACAAAAATCTTGCAATTGGAATCTATGTTTTGGGCTACTTTATGGACTGTAAAGGATTTTGTGGTTGACTTCCAATTCTTTGTTTGATCATCTACGTATTTTCTACTCATTTGATCAACATGGTTTTTGACCTAGGTACTTGTCATTCATTTGATCTCTTTCAGCCTTTGTGGTTTCTTAGCAAGAATGAAAGTGGGAGAAGCATACAAGATTTATTTAGCCTAGGTGTCTTAGTGGGAGAGTGAAGGAAACCTATCTTTAACAATTCGTTATTTCCTTTACTTATTCATCAACAAAAATAAGAAAGATAGAGAAGAGAGAACTGTTCTTTTTGGGTGTTATTTAGAAGACCCCTAAAGTGTTTGAATGATGAAAATATGAAAAGCAAATCTGTTACAAAATTCCAAAAGAAAATATTTATTCCCTAAGTTTCTTTGAAATATTGAAATATTACTGGCTTTATAATCACTTTTGGTTATGGTTAACCAAATTTTGTCAAATTTAACTTTTTTTTTTAAAATCCAATTGAGTGAGCATTTTCTATTTTAGTTCCACTTCTGTTAAAATGGGTAGATAATGTAAGACCTGGAGCATTTAGCAGTTCCCCGTGCTGTTTCTGTAGGTTTGGAGCTGATGTCATGGAAGTTGTCGTCTCTTGGACCAAAAACTTATGCATTGATATTTCTCAAGGTCGCATGCCAAATCATGTTGATAATATCAAGTCTGATCCTGTTGAACAAGGTGATAAGTATCTTTCAGATTGGAGTGTACTTGACATTGGGACTGGCAATGGATTGCTACTTCAAGAACTTTCCAAGCAAGGGTATTCTTCGATTTTTTCAATTTTATCTGGTATTGTATGTTGAGCTAAGTTGAAAGTCCTGTATGGAGGCAGATTTAATTCAAAACTAAGTGAACCATATCTCAAATATAATGTCTAGAATGGAAATGGTAGGGGTTTTGTTTTAAAATTCACAACTTGCCCATAGGTGGAGGTGTCAGCATGTGTATGACACATGGTTAATGTGAATAATGTAGGTTTAGATTCCATAGAGTGATGTAGTGATGAAAATAAAATCTAAAATGAATCGATACCATGAAAATAAAATCTAAAATAAATCAATACCGAACATGATGGAAGTGTATGTCTCCTGAAATGTTTATTTGCAGTGCTTAATAAGTTGTCATATTTGAATTATGCAATCAGTTTTGTACTTTATTTTGCACGTAAGTGCAAGCTTATAAATTAACTTTCTTTTATTTTTATATTAATCTTTTTATATTAAGCTTTTTTTTAATAAGAATAATAGAGAAATATAATTCTGAGTTAATTAATAGGTTGGTTCAGTGATCTCAGTACTATCACTGCTGTTGTTATTATTATTCTAGTTATTGCATTATTATATAGGCCTTGTTGTAATAAGGTTTCTAGACTTTCTTATAGGAAAACAGGTTTTCAGGCTTTGGCATGTGATGCAATAAATATTTATTTGAATGTACCCGCAATTCCTCTCTCCTCGTTCTGTCTTTTTGTCTCGTTCCTTCTAGCTCTCCATCTAACTATGCCCTACATCAATTGCCATTAGAGCTAAAAATGTGATCCAGTTTTGCCAGTAGTAGACAGTCCAAGCTTTAAGAGTGCAATAAACTCTACTGTCACGTGCTCCGGTTAAAAGAAGCTCCTCTTCTGTTTTTAGGGTAACAACATAGTTAGGAAGTCTGGATCTGCCCTCATTGAATCTTGCTGTGAGCCTTCATTGAATGCACCTCCATGGTTCCTTTACCCTAATTGCTTCTTTCTCCTTGTCTTCTCTCTCTCTCTCTCTCTCTCTCTCTCTCTCTCTCTCTCCTTGTTTTCTTCTTTCTCCTTGTTTTGTACTACTTTATGAAGTCTGTTTTCTCTTTGCCCTACATCAATATTCTTGGGTATTATGTGGCGTTTCGATCCTCCAAGAATCAATCTTGTCTTAAATAGTGGGCATGATTTGTTGGAAATGTACATGGAGCCTTTAATTTTCGTCTTCAATACATTTGTTGCTAAATTTAACAGACTGACTAAAGTCAATTAAAATGGTCTTTCTCATAATTACCTGGTACGGGGAACGAGAGGGTATGTGGAATGGGAATGGTTCGGGGTACACTAGTTTCTACAGTACGGGATTCGAAGGGGTAGGCATAGACGGTACAGTATTTTGGGTTGCAATTCGTGTAACTTTTTAATTTGGTACGGTATTTATAAATACTCATATATATATATATATATGTATATATATGAAAAGAGATGCACTTCAATGGATTTATCAGTATATGAATGTGGTAGGCATGATATTTATAATACAATAGGCAAACAGGCATGATATTTATAGTATAGTAGGCAAACAGTAATAATATAGTAGGCATGATGTTTATGGGGTCTAATCTACCGATCCATGTGTGGAGTATATTAGGCAAACAATAGGACCGTGTGTGCAGTATCTGTTCTTCACTGGTACTGTTATGCTACTTAACGAATTCGGTTCATTAAATCTATTGATCCAGGTTGCTTATGTACCACGACTTGTTATACCCGACCCAGTTCGAAATATGGTCTTTCTTTAATAAAAAAATTTAAAAGCTATGCCTCAGGAATGCACTTGCTTTTTTCCTTTGTTTTATTTCTTTTCCCTTGTTGGAGGGTAGGGGTGAAGGGGTGGGAGTGTTGTCAACAAAAGTGTGAGTCAAAGATTTCATGAACTTTTAGTCAATGACTTGAATTCCATTTGTTTTTCTAAATGGCCACATTGACCATAATGAATGAAATTATTGGTGTTTTGGGTTCAGGTTTTCGGATTTAACTGGAACCGATTATAGTGAAGGAGCGATTGACCTTGCTCGAAGCCTTGCTGGTCGTGATGGATTACCCAACATTCATTTTTTGGTATGCCTTTTCTTTTGGCCAATTTTTTCTGGTATGTCTAAACATTGAAAAAACATCAGATTAGAACCTAATGTCTTCTATAATCCCTTGGGACATCTCTATATTTTTAGTGAATGAAATGGAATTTTTCATCTATCTACTTGGTAAGTTTGTGGAGTGCTTTTTCCCCTATCCCTGCTGAACATGGGAATAAGCAATAATTTATAAACATCTGCATGGAATTTTCTAAATTAAATCACCAGATATGCATTATTGACTATGATAAACTTGTTATTCTTTCCATTAGTTGAAGTTAAATCTATACAAGCAATGTAGAACAAGTATTTATATGAGGCTCAATTTCTGTAATTGGTTCTTTAGCATTATTGTCTTTAGAATCCTGGCTTGTGTATACTGTTACTTTGATACTTTGTTTTTTCAATAATTTAAACTGAATTGCGTCACATTTATTTTTTAGGTTGATGATGTTCTAGACGCCAAGTTGGAAAGGCAGTTTCAACTTGTTGTGGACAAAGGAACCTTAGATGCCATTGGATTGCATCCAGATGGTTCTATCAAAAGGTAAAGGCCAGCATAGTCTGCATTGCTGCATTTGCTCTGTTAAGATCATTACTCTTTTCTTATCTATTTTCTGATTAATATTTCCTCAGTTTCTCTATTAATGATTAGTTCAGTTCATCTAATTGCTTGTCTTTATTGAATAGAAGGAAACTAGAGTGAGAAAGATTGTGTTTTTGTTATACAGGGTAATGTATTGGGATTCAGTTTCAAGATTGGTGGCTCCTGGTGGAGTATTGGTGAGCATCTTCACTTTGCCTAGTACTTGTTACTCAAAGTTGCACTCAACTTCATTTAGGGCATGTTTTTTAAAGTGCTAAAGTAGGAAGTTAGAGTATATAAACTATTTCATTATGAACGCAAGCGATTCTCACACATTCACTTTGAAAGTGCTTTTTGACGACGCACCTAAAAGTTCTTTTTTAACCCAAAAGAATTTTGTGTTCTGCCGAACAATATGAGAAGCACTTTTCGATATTTGAAAGTGCTTTTGGCACTGTCAGAATCATCCCCAAAACACACCCTAAAACTATATAAGATTTTAACATTTGCACCATCATTCTTCTTATTTTTATTATTATTTTTAAAATTTCTCTTTGTCAAGTTCTTGTTTCTTTTGACACTACCTGATATTTCCATTGCCTTGCGGAACACCATTGTAGGTGATCACATCATGTAACAACACAAAAGATGAATTGGTGCAAGAAGTGGAAAGTTTCAATCAAAGAAGTGTGACCCAGGAACATGATGAAACACCCAAAGATAAGTTCCAATACCTTAGTCATGTCCGCACATATCCGACATTCATGTTCGGTGGATCTGTAGGATCACGTGTTGCCACTGTGGCATTTCTCCGAAACTGAATCACTAATCCTTGCGAGTAACATGGTTTGATGCGGTTCATGCATTTGTGTGTGCACACTGAGAAAGTAAATGTACTGACTTGTGCAAGTTCTTTTATTTGTTTGAAAACCATGAAACTCTCTGATTCATTTTAAGCTATTTCTTCTTTGTCAGGGTTTCTGCTATGCAAAGTTTATACATAAAATGTACATGTTATTGTTAGTAGCTAGTATGAATGTATTTTGGTTTAATAGCTATTTTACATAATAGATTTTCCTATTCTCTATCCTTTGGAATTCAACTACCTTCTCTGCGAGAGATGAGCTTAAAAATTTATTTAGTATAATATCTATTTTACCTCTTTTTTCATTTAAAAAATTGAAAGAATGAAATAATCTTTTACTCTGCCCTTTTTCTTTCTTCCCTTTCCTTTTCCAAATTAGGTGGAAAATCGCAAGACCTTTTAGTGTCAAAAAGAGTCTAGATGAATTGGATTGCTCCAAGATCTGGAGACCTAGTTAGGCTCATGTAGGCATCCTTGACCTAGAGTTTAAGGAACCTGTGTTTTTTTTCCCCAAAGAATTGGATTGCTCCAAGATCTGGAGACCTAGTTAGGCTCATGTAGGCATCCTTGACCTAGAGTTTAAGGAACCTGTGTTTTTTTTCCCCAAACCTCTGCGTGAGAGAGTTGCTTTATTTAATAATTTTTCGACTCTTGGTGCGAGAGAGTTTGGGAACCAAGTGTTTGAGAAAGGAATTGTTCTCCTCTCCACTTAGTTGAGCCCTTTCATCAGTGATTCTAAATCTAAAATGTCGGTGATTTTCTACAACCCCCTTAAAGGATCAAGTGTTTAGGATTGAACCTAGTGATGCGCTTGTCAAGTGTTTTTAGTGATTTTGGTATTTGAAGTCTCAGAATGACCTTTGTCAAGTTGCTTTTTGTGTAGTTGATGCATGGCCAGGAAACTGGGTTTGGATGTAGCCAAGAGGCCGAGCCACCTAAACGTCTCTTTTTACTTATTTTAATTTTTTGTATGAGTTTATGTTTGTTGAATGCTTTCATTTTTGAGCCTTATAACATGTTGGGTATCGTTGATCTGCTTTGTTTGCTTGAGCTGTGGTGTGAATTTCCACTGGTCTAGATCCGGTTGGCAGAAGAGCTAGGGTTATATGTTCACAATTAGGGTGAGAAATTTGGAAGACCTATTTACCCAAGTCTAGGTAGTTTTCGAGCATTGTGCCGAAATAAGATAAAAACAGTGTGTCAAAAGGTATAACAATCAACTTGGTCTAGCTGCAGGACAAACCCCTATGCAATTTTTACGCTTTGTTAGTTATGTAATCTTGAGTTCACATGTTCTTATCAAAGATGTTACACAATGAAAAAAACAGTTTTAAAATTTACTTGCAAAACTAATTAGGATCGAACACATTTTGCGAAAATATATCATTCAATCAGACCATTAGGGTTAGCAAACGTACCTTAAGACCAAGTTAGTATATTGGTCTAGCAATCGTTTAGATATTAACAAACGCTTGCCCTAGTTGATTTGGTATATTTGGTAAAGCTCTTGATATAAATACTAAACAAATTAAACTATAGTTGACTCTAGTATATAACCAGTTGCACTCCAAGAATCGAGAGAACTTTTTACAAAAGCCATAAAACTAAATCAAAGCAACGATTACAGTTACTCCTTGTCAAACAAATTCATTCACATATTATCTTGAGAACATGTGACCGCATATAATCCAACAACACAGAGTCATTAAATTGACCCTCTAGCCTTCCCCATCACTCCTCTCTCTCTCTCTCTTAGGGGTGTACAAGATCCAATCCAATCTGCCCAAATCGACTGATCCAATCCAATTTCAATCGGTTTTGATGATTGGGCGAATTGGATTGGATTCGTAATTTTCAAAACCGACATGATTGAATCGGATGACGAATTTGCTTATGAGAATCCAATCAAGTATAGTTAGTTTTATGCTTATTTTGCTCTTGTAGGTATTTGTAGTTGAAAATGTTATGAATATTTTAAGTCATTTTATGGAGTTATATTTAATATAATATAATCAAAACAATTTTCTCTAGTATTTCATTTATATTTACATTTATGTCTATTAATATGTTTGATTAGATTAAACCTTAGGATAAATGTTTACTATTTCATTATTGTCTTTTTCCATTATAAAAATTGATCGTCCAATCCAATCCAATCCAATCAAATTCAATATCAATTGGATCGGATCGGATTGAATTTAAACATCTAATATGATTGGATCATATTGAAAAAATCACAATCCAATCTATATTGGATTGGATATGAATTGACTAAATTGTATTAGTTTCAAACCGATGTACACACCTACGCTCTCTCCCTCTCTCTCATTGGTCAACAAGAAGTGGTGGCACGCCTCTAGCCTCTCTCTCTCTCTCTCTCTCTCTACTAATATTTGGTTTCGCCTTTGTTCTGTGCATCATTTTTATGCCTCTGCAACTTAATATGAACTATTGTGTAAAATTTTATTCTCGTAGCATATATGTTTCTGTTTTGATTGCTATTTAAAACCATATGAATGCTTAAATGAATGTAACAGACTCAAATTTAATCGGATACTATGGAATTGATTGAGAATTATTGTTTCGTTGCAGCATGATTCTACCTAAATGAGGAAATATAGCTTGAGACTTTTTTACGGGCATGTCTACATTTTAGATGTAATCAATGACATGTTATATTTGGGTTTGTTAACTGGATAGAACCTATAAAAGAAACTGATAGTTTTAACATTGTTCTGGTTTTTTTTTTTGTTTTTTGTTTTTGTTTTTTTATATATAATATATATTTTATTTTAAATAATGGCTAATGCCCATTAATCACAGCGAAATTATGGTTTTTGCTAAGGATTAAACAATGGATAATATTGAGATTTTCTAGCAGTGAGGATTGCCAAACTTGAGCGAGAGTGTTTACGTGAGTTCCAAGGTGATTTGTTACATTTTATCTATTTAAGTGTAATTACAAATTAATTACGTTTATTGTAGCTTGCTCAATGTAATATTGTTTCCCTATTATGAAGAAGAATAATATTAGAAAATTCCCAAATATCATTGTTTGAAAATTTATACAAGATGAAAATAACTAATTTTGAAAGGAAATAATTGTTGAGAGAGATTCTAAGTTCAAATCTCATGAACGAGAACTGACGAGTAAAATATAGTCAAATAAGTGGGCTAGAGAGATGTACAGTTTTCTTTTTACAAAGATATGTATATTTATCATTATTGATTCAAATTTACCAAGAGTGAAACAAGGACAAGGCAGAGAGTAGCAGAAATTTCTTGGGAAGCTGGGTTTTGAATTGTAGATGTTTTTTTGTTTGTTGGGTGGTGATGGTGGTGATGGTGGTTCGATTGGGTGTTGTTCTTGGTGTCGATATGCCGTTTGACTGGGTGGTGGTGGGTTGATGGTGGAGGCTGTGGCATTTTGACTCTGGTGGGGGTTTGATTCAAGCCAATGATGAACGATCTGACTCCAGTGAATCTGCTTTCCTGAAAACACAAAAACTTTTTGACATTTTCAGACTCTAAGGGCCAGTTTGGCATTATTATGCTGTGAAAATAATCGTTGTTA